TGGGGCTGCTCCGGGCCACGGCAGCAGCTGAGGCAGGAGGCACCATGAGAGCAGCTGTGAACAAGCATGACATTTGGAGAGGCAAGGGCAGCAGATGAGGAGGTGTCCCCTCCCGCTAGCTCTGCCATCTCTGCGTCAGACAAATGCCAGGGCAGGGGAAAATGTGAGAAAATGATAACCAACGTTTCTGGAGCATCAGAGGGGCTCATTTCTCACGCTACGTGCAACTGCACCAGAGACCAGCTTGGTCTCTCCACTTGGGTCCCCACTGGGGCACAAGACACGGCTGACTCGGCATCAGCAGCCAGGGCTCCTGCAGGCAAAGTCTCTGCTCACCCCAGGGAGTACCTTTACCTTTGCCTTGCCAAGGGGTCAGTGCCCCGGGCAGCCTGCAGTCACCACCCTCCAGCAGCCTGGCAGCGCCTGCTCTCCCCAGCCAGAGGCTGAACACAGCCCCAGCCAGGCCAGGGGCAGCCCCCCACTCTGGGGTCCGGGCAGGAGCCCCCCACAATCCCTCAGAGCCCCCACATCCACTGCCCAGCTTCTGCTCTGCCCTTGTGGGCCATGGCCACGGGCAGGACTCTGCTCCCTGCTCCCAGGCTCTTGGCAGAGCCACAGCAGCTTATCCCACTGTGGGTTAGACCTGCTCCACATTAATTGCTCCAGTTGCAAGGAGGAAAATCAATTCCACATTTTATACTTTAGCAGCCTCTGTGCTTAAGTTTTGGCACATTTGTCAGTTTAAAAAAAAATAAGGTAATAAAACCAAGGAAGTGTCATTTAATTGTTTTAGCTGAACTAATTTGCAGGCCCCGCTGCTCTGGCGTGATCTCTCTATTGATCCAGACAGAGCTGGGCCCTGGGGCAGGGCGCTGCTCACCTGGTCACGCTCCCACTGCTGCTCCAACTCACCCCAAAACCACCCTGCATCCCTCCTGGCCATGGACAGGTCCCTTTGCATGGAGAATCCCAGATGGAACAACGGCTCAGGGTGGGAGGTGTCTGCCCAGCTGCACACTGCTGCAGCCCCTCAGTGCCAGCCTGAGGGGAGAGGGCACAGCTTCTGCTCAGCACCATCCCAGGCAGGGTCTGTCCCTTCATGCAGGGCAGGCTCCGTGTCCCAAACCTTGTAAGGGAGGAGTGTCACAGGTCAGTCCTGCACTGCCCATGAGGCTCCCAGCCCCACATTTCCCACACTGACAGCACACGGGAAGCACAGCCCACATCAGTCACAGACACAGGGTTGCAGGGAAGGATCCCAGCTCAGGATTTGGGGAGCTGTTTCCCAGCTAGGTGATGAGCCCATGGAGCTCCCCTCGGAGCCAGGGCTCAGCTAGGACCCATATTCTGCTCCATCACCTATCCTGCCACTTTGGATGTCTCCAGAGAAAGCACTGTCCTCACATGCCTGTGCTGCAGGGTTGCTCACAGCTGCAGGCTTTTGGG